CTTTCTGTTATACTGTTATATCTATATTTGTTATATACAGTGAGGAGGTTGCCTCAGGTGTCATCTCACTGGGTCACCTGCCGCCCCCTTTTCCGGCCAGAGCATCCCAGGTTGGGCGTCCCACCCAGCTCACTGACGTCACTGGTTGCCAGGAGCTGAGCGGGGGGAGGAAGGATGACACCGCATTTTATTTCCTCTTCTATCAGTATTCAATTTCTATGGGGTTTTTTTTTTTTAGGTTCCAAGAGAAGAAAGAAGAGGAGACCGCCGCCGCCGCCAAAACAACAAATAAAATCTCTGGATGGCGTCCGCTCTACAGGAGACATGGGCCAAACATTCGGTAGGACCTGAGCAGAGGAGCGAACCTGAGAGAGGAAGTTGTCTCTCAGTTATGCTCCGGTGCAATAGCCATCCTGCCATTGGCTTTTGCAATTTGAAATAGACGGGAGGCGCCATAAGGGATGAATGGTCAAGGCTGCGGCCTATGTAGCAGTGCACCCAGGGCAGCAGTGCGCCCTAGGCGGCTGCCTAGTTTGCCTATTGGCAGCACCGGCACCCTGGAAGTGAGATTTTCCATCACAACATATTTTCAGTTTTCATAATTATTATTTAGTATTTTATTGGATTTATTACTTCCTATGAAACATTTGAAGGTCATTTCTTTGTGTCTTTGGGCCAGCTGTGCATCCAGATTGCTTGGTTTACAGCGCTCATGGTAGGATCTATCTGTGGTATGAACCGGCAGCTCTGGATGTACGGGTGACCCAATGGCATGGTGCATGGCCCCACCTATGATCCTAAAATTAAGTCAAAACCTTTTATTTTCCGGATTTGTGATGTAGGTGAGGAATGTTGATACTTTGTGTTTTAGGACTTGGCATTGCAGTGGTCCATTGGAGGGCTTTTTGGTTCCTTTGAGCGCACCTCACAATAATCCATTGGTTCTCAAAGTAGGGTCACCATGGCACTGCAGAGAGGACACTGGGCATGTTTGGTAGGGCCACTGTGGGTAGCTGGATTCACAGTTCCTGCAAACAGAAGGCCAACAGTCAAACAGCAGGTCCCTTCCCTCTGTAATGACTGGAAGGTGCATGTGCCATCCCTCTGTAATGACTGGAAGGTGCATGTGCCATCCCTCTGTAATGACTGGAAGGTACATGTGCCATCCCTCTGTAATGACCAGAAGGTACATGTCCCATCCCTCTGTAATGACTGGAAGGTACATGTCCCATGATCCCACAGCGGAGTTCTCATTCATAAATACTCTCTTAGCGCCATCTGGTGGCTTTTGGGGTCTTATAGATTAGGATGGAGCACAATTTACCCTGAAAGGTGACCACATGACTCACTCCGTCACATGTCCACCAATAGGAGGATTATTCCTGATTTGAGGGCAGTAAATTCTGCCACGGGGTCCCATGGTTCATAGTCATAGTATTGTTAAAAAATAAATATGTAAATTAGTTTATTCCGGACATATTTTGATACATTTGATGCTTTTCTATCCTGCAGATCTTTACCGAAAAGCTATGCAAGCTTTAAAGCTAAAGCAAGAAACGCAAAGGAAGGTCAATCCATAACATGCATGTGCCATCCCTCTGTAATGACTGGAAGGTACTCTAGTGGCGTTCTAATCTTGCTTAGCATGTGAGCAGGACTATAGTGGAGACCCTGAAAGAGACGTACAGGGAGAGGAAGCTGTTTTGTCACTCCCAAGACAATGTTAGAGCGGCAGAAGAGATGTCACCCAAGAAATTGGGGATCACGGGGTAAGGAGAGGAGATGGTGTCACAGGAGCAAGGAGGGGGACCATATGATGTCATGGGGTAAGGAGAGGTATCAGATGATGTCACAGGGGTAAGGAGAGGTATCAGATTATGTCACAGGGGTAAGGAGAGGTATCAGATGGTGACACAGGGGTAAGGAGGGGTACCGTATGGTGTTACAGGGGTAAGGAGGGGTATCAGATGGTGTTACAGGGGTAAGGAGGGGTATCAGATGATGTCACAGGGGTAAGGATGGATACCATATGGTGTCACAAAAGTAAGGAGAGTTATCAGATGGTGTCACGGGGTAAAGGAGAGGTATGAGATGGTGCCACAGGAGTAAGCAGGGGGACCATATGATATCATAGGGGTAGGAAGAGGTGTCAGGTGATGCCACAGGGGTTAGGAGGGCAAGCATATGGTGTCACAGAGGTGAGGAGGGATGTTAGGTGATGGATGATAAATATCTACATAGCATTCAGTTTGGATTTTCACTTTAACTCATATCCGATAACAAAGTGTATGCTACCAATAATTTGTTACATTTTGTCCCTTGTGATCCCACAGCGGAGTTCTCATTCATAAATACTCTCTTAGCGCCATCTGGTGGCTTTTGGGGTCTTATAGATTAGGATGGAGCACAATTTACCCTGAAAGGTGACCACATGACTCACTCCGTCACATGTCCACCAATAGGAGGATTATTCCTGATTTGAGGGCAGTAAATTCTGCCACGGGGTCCCATGGTTCATAGTCATAGTATTGTTAAAAAATAAATATGTAAATTAGTTTATTCCGGACATATTTTGATACATTTGATGCTTTTCTATCCTGCAGATCTTTACCGAAAAGCTATGCAAGCTTTAAAGCTAAAGCAAGAAACGCAAAGGAAGGTCAATCCATAACATGCATGTGCCATCCCTCTGTAATGACTGGAAGGTACTCTAGTGGCGTTCTAATCTTGCTTAGCATGTGAGCAGGACTATAGTGGAGACCCTGAAAGAGACGTACAGGGAGAGGAAGCTGTTTTGTCACTCCCAAGACAATGTTAGAGCGGCAGAAGAGATGTCACCCAAGAAATTGGGGATCACGGGGTAAGGAGAGGAGATGGTGTCACAGGAGCAAGGAGGGGGACCATATGATGTCATGGGGTAAGGAGAGGTATCAGATGATGTCACAGGGGTAAGGAGAGGTATCAGATTATGTCACAGGGGTAAGGAGAGGTATCAGATGGTGACACAGGGGTAAGGAGGGGTACCGTATGGTGTTACAGGGGTAAGGAGGGGTATCAGATGGTGTTACAGGGGTAAGGAGGGGTATCAGATGATGTCACAGGGGTAAGGATGGATACCATATGGTGTCACAAAAGTAAGGAGAGTTATCAGATGGTGTCACGGGGTAAAGGAGAGGTATGAGATGGTGCCACAGGAGTAAGCAGGGGGACCATATGATATCATAGGGGTAGGAAGAGGTGTCAGGTGATGCCACAGGGGTTAGGAGGGCAAGCATATGGTGTCACAGAGGTGAGGAGGGATGTTAGGTGATGGATGATAAATATCTACATAGCATTCAGTTTGGATTTTCACTTTAACTCATATCCGATAACAAAGTGTATGCTACCAATAATTTGTTACATTTTGTCCCTTGTGATCCCACAGCGGAGTTCTCATTCATAAATACTCTCTTAGCGCCATCTGGTGGCTTTTGGGGTCTTATAGATTAGGATGGAGCACAATTTACCCTGAAAGGTGACCACATGACTCACTCCGTCACATGTCCACCAATAGGAGGATTATTCCTGATTTGAGGGCAGTAAATTCTGCCACGGGGTCCCATGGTTCATAGTCATAGTATTGTTAAAAAATAAATATGTAAATTAGTTTATTCCGGACATATTTTGATACATTTGATGCTTTTCTATCCTGCAGATCTTTACCGAAAAGCTATGCAAGCTTTAAAGCTAAAGCAAGAAACGCAAAGGAAGGTCAATCCATAACATGCATGTGCCATCCCTCTGTAATGACTGGAAGGTACTCTAGTGGCGTTCTAATCTTGCTTAGCATGTGAGCAGGACTATAGTGGAGACCCTGAAAGAGACGTACAGGGAGAGGAAGCTGTTTTGTCACTCCCAAGACAATGTTAGAGCGGCAGAAGAGATGTCACCCAAGAAATTGGGGATCATAGGGGAAGGAGAGGAGATGGTGTCACGGGGTACCATATGATGTCACAGGGGTAAGGAGGGTACCATATGATGTCACAGGGGTAAGGAGGGGTACCGTATGGTGTTACAGGGGTAAGGAGGGTACCATATGATGTCACAGGTGTAAGGAGGGGTACCGTATGGTGTTACAGGGGTAAGGAGAGGTATCAGATGATGCCACAGGGGTACCGTATGGTGTTACAGGGGTAACGAGGAGTGCCATATGGTCTCACAGGGGTAAGGAGGGTACCATATGATGTCATGGGGGTAAGGAGGGGTATCGTATGATGTCACAGGGGTAAGGAGAGGTATCAGATGGTGTCACAGGGGTGTGGGTAGGAGGACCATATGATGTCATGGGGGAATGAGGGGTATCGTATGATGTCACAGGGGTAAGGAGAGGTATCAGATGGTGTCACAGGGGTGTGGGTAGGAGGACCATATGATGTCATGGGGGAATGAGGGGTATCGTATGATGTCACAGGGGTAAGGAGAGGTATCAGATGGTGTCACAGGGGTAAGGAGAGGTATCAGATGGTGTTACAGGGGTAAGGAGGGGTGCCATATGGTCTCACAGGGGTAAGGAGAGGTATCAGATGATGTCATGGGGGTAAGGAGGGGTATCGTATGGTGTCACAGCGGTAAGGAGAGGTATCAGATGGTGTCACAGGGGTAAGGAGAGGTATCAGATGGTGTCACAGGGGTGTGGAGGAGGACCATATGATGTCACAGGGGTAAGGAGAGGTATCAGATGGTGTCACAGGAGTAAGGAGGGGTATCAGGTGGTGTCAAAGGGGTAAGGAGAGGTATCAGATGGTGTCACAGGGGTAACGAGAGGTATCAGATGGTGTCACAGGGGTAACGAGAGGTATCAGATGGTGTCACAGGGGTAAGGAGGGGTATCAGATGGTGTCACAGGAGTAAGGAGAGGTATCAGATGGTGTCACAGGGGTAAGGAGAGGTATCAGATGGTGTCACAGGGGTAAGGAGGGGTATCAGATGGTGTCACAGGGGTAAGGAGGGGTATCAGATGGTGTCACAGGGGTAAGGAGGGGTAGCATATGATATGATAGTGGTTGGAAGAGGTGTCAGATGATGCCACAGGGGTAAGGAGGAGTAACATAAAGCTAAAGCAAGAAACGCAAAGGAAGGTCAATCCATAACATGCAATGGAGGACGATGGAGGAATGAGACCGTCCTTCCGTTCATTAAATAGGATATTTCCCAAATCAGAACTCCAGACGGGACGGAAACAAATTTATTGCATACAGAAGAAAAAATGTAGCATGTAAAATGCATCATTTTATTTCATGGCATTAAAAAATATTATCAGGTGCTATAATAAATTGTTTTTATTTTTTATTTTATACCTGTAATAAATAAATAATAAATAAATACACATTTTATTTTGTCACATGGTATATATATCCAGATGTTCGGCGCATCACCATCTAGACTTTTATCATTCTGACAATTGTATAATATGCATTTTTTTTTTCTATGCCTCCTGTAGCTGTGCAGTACAGTGGTGGTACTTCTGTCACATTTTATATATACAAGTTATAAAGGCGATGCAGTGATATCCTATTGGATGGTGAGATTCATATTCATTGTCCCCATCAATGTGCCCCCTTACATCAGGTGTCCCCATCAATGTGCTCCCTTACATCAGGTGTCTCCATCAATGTGCTCCCTTACATCAGGTGTCTCCATCAATGTGCTCCCTTACATCAGGTGTCTCCATCAATGTGCTCCCTTACATCAGGTGTCTCCATCAATGTGCTCCCTTACATCAGGTGTCTCCATCAATGTGCTCCCTTACATCAGGTGTCTCCATCAATGTGCTCCCTTACATCAGGTGTCTCCATCAATGTGCTCCCTTACATCAGGTGTCTCCATCAATGTGCTCCCTTACATCAGGTGTCTCCATCAATGTGCTCCCTTACATCAGGTGTCTCCATCAATGTGCTCCCTTACATCAGGTGTCTCCATCAATGTGCTCCCTTACATCAGGTGTCTCCATCAATGTGCTCCCTTACATCAGGTGTCTCCATCAATGTGCTCCCTTACATCAGGTGTCTCCATCAATGTGCTCCCTTACATCAGGTGTCTCCATCAATGTGCTCCCTTACATCAGGTGTCTCCATCAATGTGCTCCCTTACATCAGGTGTCTCCATCAATGTGCTCCCTTACATCAGGTGTCTCCATCAATGTGCTCCCTTACATCAGGTGTCTCCATCAATGTGCTCCCTTACATCAGGTGTCTCCATCAATGTGCTCCCTTACATCAGGTGTCTCCATCAATGTGCTCCCTTACATCAGGTGTCTCCATCAATGTGCTCCCTTACATCAGGTGTCTCCATCAATGTGCTCCCTTACATCAGGTGTCTCCATCAATGTGCTCCCTTACATCAGGTGTCTCCATCAATGTGCTCCCTTACATCAGGTGTCTCCATCAATGTGCTCCCTTACATCAGGTGTCTCCATCAATGTGCTCCCTTACATCAGGTGTCTCCATCAATGTGCTCCCTTACATCAGGTGTCTCCATCAATGTGCTCCCTTACATCAGGTGTCTCCATCAATGTGCTCCCTTACATCAGGTGTCTCCATCAATGTGCTCCCTTACATCAGGTGTCTCCATCAATGTGCTCCCTTACATCAGGTGTCTCCATCAATGTGCTCCCTTACATCAGGTGTCTCCATCAATGTGCTCCCTTACATCAGGTGTCTCCATCAATGTGCTCCCTTACATCAGGTGTCTCCATCAATGTGCTCCCTTACATCAGGTGTCTCCATCAATGTGCTCCCTTACATCAGGTGTCTCCATCAATGTGCTCCCTTACATCAGGTGTCTCCATCAATGTGCTCCCTTACATCAGGTGTCTCCATCAATGTGCTCCCTTACATCAGGTGTCTCCATCAATGTGCTCCCTTACATCAGGTGTCTCCATCAATGTGCTCCCTTACATCAGGTGTCTCCATCAATGTGCTCCCTTACATCAGGTGTCTCCATCAATGTGCTCCCTTACATCAGGTGTCTCCATCAATGTGCTCCCTTACATCAGGTGTCTCCATCAATGTGCTCCCTTACATCAGGTGTCTCCATCAATGTGCTCCCTTACATCAGGTGTCTCCATCAATGTGCTCCCTTACATCAGGTGTCTCCATCAATGTGCTCCCTTACATCAGGTGTCTCCATCAATGTGCTCCCTTACATCAGGTGTCTCCATCAATGTGCTCCCTTACATCAGGTGTCTCCATCAATGTGCTCCCTTACATCAGGTGTCTCCATCAATGTGCTCCCTTACATCAGGTGTCTCCATCAATGTGCTCCCTTACATCAGGTGTCTCCATCAATGTGCTCCCTTACATCAGGTGTCTCCATCAATGTGCTCCCTTACATCAGGTGTCTCCATCAATGTGCTCCCTTACATCAGGTGTCTCCATCAATGTGCTCCCTTACATCAGGTGTCTCCATCAATGTGCTCCCTTACATCAGGTGTCTCCATCAATGTGCTCCCTTACATCAGGTGTCTCCATCAATGTGCTCCCTTACATCAGGTGTCTCCATCAATGTGCTCCCTTACATCAGGTGTCTCCATCAATGTGCTCCCTTACATCAGGTGTCTCCATCAATGTGCTCCCTTACATCAGGTGTCTCCATCAATGTGCTCCCTTACATCAGGCGTCCCCATCAATGTGCCCCCTTACATAAGGTGTCTCCATCAATGTGCCCACTTACATCAGGTGTCTCCATCAATGTGCTCCCTTACATCAGGCGTCCCCATCAATGTGCTCCCTTACATCAGGTGTCCCCATCAATGTGCCCCCTTACATCAGGCGTCCCCATCAATGTGCCCCCTTACATCAGGTGTCCCCATCAATGTGCCCCCTTACATCAGGTGTCCCCATCAATGTGCCCCCTTACATCAGGCGTCCCCATCAATGTGCCCCCTTACATCAGGTGTCCCCATCAATGTGCCCCCTTACATCAGGTGTCCCCATCAATGTGCCCCCTTACATCAGGCGTCCCCATCAATGTGCCCCCTTACATCAGGTTGATCTAACAGTGTATGGCCGGCTTTGGTTGTCCTCCTCGGGGACGGGTATTCAGGCTGCCCATACACCAGCAGAATTTCCATAGAGAAAACTACGTTTTGTAACGTTTGTTTGATTTTCAAGCTAACGAGGTCAAATCGGGAACCAATTTCGACTGATAGTGAGAGGGATAATGTTTCTTGACATAATCATTCAATGTTCTAAGAGCTGATGAGGTCGTGTAAACGCTCAATCTCCACGGTAATGCTGAGGAAAAAAAAAAGTGAAGGAGCGGGATGGAAAATTTCTTCTCGAATGAATGTAATCAGTGGAGACAAATTTGGAAACAACGTTCATGAAGTCTCTGATGAATGAATGTTTTTTTCAGGAACCTCCAAAATTGACGTTCAAATCTCCGATAACATTACCAAATGTTCCGATGAGATTTTTCAGAGGAACGTTGGTAGGAAGACTTCTTCTCGAATGAATGAAATTCTATCAGCGAAATGTGGTTTTTGTTCGGGGAAACTCCATAATCGAATGTTAAAATGAATTAAAGTTTCAACAATGAGATTTTAAACGAATGTTCTGATGAGATTCTCCATAGGAACGTTCGTAGGAAGATCTACCAGAGTATGGGCGGCATTGGTTGTCCTCTTCAGGGGGAGGGGGGGTTGGGGACAGGTATTTACTGTCTGTACCTTAGTACATTTGCTCCAACACGTTACACAAAAGAGGTCAGACAGGAGGAGGAGAAGAAGGAGGGGGGAGATTAGTGACACAGGAGGAGGAGAAGGAGGAGGGGGGAGATGAATAACACAGGAGGAGGAGAAGGGGGGAGATGAATAACACAGGAGGAAGAGAAGTAGGGGGAGATGTTTGAGTAGGGTAAGGGAGGGGGGAGAGGAGAATAGAGTGACACACAACCGCACTGCCTGTCCTACCATCCTCTCCGTCCCTCCATTCCCTCTAACCTGCACATTACCTGTTTCTTAAAGTGTGTAGATTCCCCGCATTCCCTAATATGGCAGTTTAGGGGTCTTAGAGTGATGCCATTTACCCTCTATCCCGAGGAACGCGGGTTTATTTTTGTACCAGCCTTACACTGTTTTAAAGGGATTATAATAATCATTTTGTTTTCCGGCTGTGCTGACCAACTCGTGGATTGGGACTTGACAAAGTGGTGGAGCATGCGGACGGCACACCCTGGATCTATTTCTAACGTGGGCACGTGGAGGGTGGACATTGATACGAACATCTCGTGTCTGGAAATAGTCCCACCACACACCACTTTGTGTGTGAGCGTCCCATGCGCCGCAGTGCCCGGCTTTTGTGTCCATGCAAAAATGGTGGCCACCATCTCGGTCTTAGCAGGGGACACTTTAACCTCTAGTGTTCCTCCTTGAGGCTTTCCCCTCCTCCTCCTCCTCCCTCCCTGATCCTGTGCACTCATGGAGCCTTTATACACTGCTGGTCGGTCACCCTCTGTCCTCCTGATTCAACGTCCATCGTGAGGGTTGTCCGGTGGCCGCAGATGGAGAATCTTCGAAAAGGGAAGTCGCGACAGATGGCAAAACCGGGCAACGGGGGGAGCAGTGAGGGTGGAAATACACATGTCTCTGTATTGTTGTGAGCTCGCTCTCACAACTCTGCGGCCATGATGTCATTTCCAGTGCGACTGTGGAGAAGCTGGAAGTAGAGATTCTCTATGCTAAGGTACAATGGAGTATTATGGGGGTCTCTGTCTGGTGGGCATAGTCCATTATGGGATATCTGTTTTGCATGCATAGTCCATTATGGGGTATCTGTCTGGTGGGCATAGTCCATCATAGGGTATCTGTTTGGTGGGCATAGTCCTTTATGGGATATCTGTTTTGTGTGCATAGTCCATTATGGGGTATCTGTCTGGTCGTGGGTCCATCATAGGGTATCTGTTTCGTGGGCATAGTCCATCATAGGGTATCTGTTTCGTGGGCATAGTCCATAATGGGATATGCGTTTGGTGGGCATAGTCCGTTATAGGGTACCCATTTGGTGGTCATAGTCCATAATGGGGTATTCATTTGACGGGCATAGTCCATTATGAAGAATCCGCTAAGTAGCATAGTCCATTATGGTGTATTTTGTTTGGAGGGCATAGTCCATTATGCGTTATCCGTTTTGTGGACACAGGGACGCCAGTGTGTGTAGGGGGAATCAGGGCCGTAGATAATTTTCTTTGCCTGGGGGGGGTGGATGTTTTCATGTGTCCCTCCAGCGGTGCGGCGTCTCTCCGATCCAGCACTGACTGCTCTGTCCCTCCGATCCTGCGGTGTCTGCAGGCGGGTGCATGCGTCCATAGACTTACCTTGCGTCTCTGCTCATCTCCCGGCCGAGAATCGGAACTGCGCATGCGCCCGCCCCAAGATCCTTTGCGGCCGTACGAGCAGTTCCTGATTCTCGGCGCGGGAGCGAGCAGCGATAACGAGGTAAGTTTAAAATGATTTCAAGCGTTTTTTGTTTTTTTTTACACTTCTTGCCTGTATCTACTGCTTGCTAGTACGTGACCCCCTCTGCCCTCCCCTCGTTAGCCACTGCCAGGACACTCTGGGGGGGGGGGGGGTTTGAACCCCCCTATCCCCCCCTTAGTTACGCCCCTGGGGGGAATATTCCTGTTCGCAACTCGTATAACCAAATTGTGGTGCTGAAAGATTCCAGATTAAAAGAAAATCAGTCTGACGGGCATAGTCCATTACAGGGTATTCGTTTGATGGGCATTAAGAAGTGTCTCTTTCTTGTGCATAGTCCATATTGGGCTAGTGGCTGGTGAGCATAGTCCATTATGGGATATCTGTCTGGTGAGCATAGTCCATTTAGGATGTCTGTCTGGTGAGCATAGTCCATTATGGGGTATCCGTCTGGTGAGCATAGTCCATTATAGGGTGTCCGTCTAGTGGGCATAGTACATTATGGGTCTCCGTCTGGCGGGAATAGTCTATTATGGGGTGTCTGTCTGGTGAGCATAGTCTATTATGGGGTATCTGTCTGGTGGCCATAGTCCATTATGGGGTATCTGACTGGTGGCTATAGTAAATTATGGGGTATCTATCTGGTGAGCATAGTCCATTATGGGGTATCTATCTGGTGAGCATAGTCCATTATGGGGTATCTCCCTGGTGGCCATAGTCCAGCATGGGGTATCTGTCTGGTGAGCATAGTCCATTAAGGAGTATCTGACTGGTGGCCATAGTCCATTATAGGGTATCTGCCCGGTGGCCATAGTCCATTATAGGGTATCTGTCTGGTGAGCATAGTCCATTATGGAGTATCTGACTGGTGGCCATAGTCCATTATAGGGTATCTGTCTGGTGGCCATAGTCCATTAGAGGGTATCTGCCCGGTGGCCATAGTCCATTATGGGGTATCTGTCAGGTGAGCATAGTCCATTAAGGAGTATCTGACTGGTGGCCATAGTCCATTATAGGGTATCTGTCTGGTGGCCATAGTCCATTAGAGGGTATCTGCCCGGTGGCCATAGTCCATTATGGGGTATCTGTCAGGTGGCGATCTCGTTGGACGTGTTCCACATCAGTGGCCTGCAAAGCATGAATGCCTTCTGAACGTAACAGCCAGGCAACTAGCATTTTCACAAAGGGGGGTCCAGTATTTAATGCTTCCTTGGGAAAATTGTAGGGTCGTGCTGACTCTAAACCAGGGGAAGACAACCTTGGCACTCCAGCTGTTGTGGAACTACAAGTCCCGTGAGGTACTACAAGGCTCTGACAGTCACAGCATGACCCGCAGAGGCATGATAGGATTTGCAGTTTCACCACAGCTGAAGTGACAGGGCTGGTCTAGACAGTTGGGCACCAATAATCTCTGGTCACAAACAGGTTAAATAGGATTGCATGGGTCCCACCACATTCCAGTGTGGGCATTAGCATAAGGAAGGGGAAGGGGTGCTTCACAGGCAGCCGGCAATCTCAAGGTCTAGTTATCTACACACCATGTGATCAGGTTTTCTATTATCTGCAATCGCTTGCTACCCGGAGAATAGCCGTGTGAGCCAGCTCGAGCGGTCCCATGACCATTAGATTGTCAGGTGTTGTGCCAAAAAAAATGACTGAATAGGAAGACTCGGGAAGGAGAAGGAAGGTGAGGGGCGCTCATAGCGGTGAGGTTCTCAATGAAGTCCCCGCAGGCTCTTCTCTCCTGGGCTGCGGTGGAAGAATGTCCCTGGGTGTCCTCACGTCTAATGCAGGTCAATGGACCTGCATAGGATGCGATGATGTCAGCGGCCCTTAGACCACTGGAGCCCAGGGGAGAAGAGGCTCCGGAGACCGGTCTAGCAGCCTGGAGGGGCCAAGGATCAGGTGAGTAAATATTCTTTTTTGGGGCCCCCTAGATAAAACGATCGCTTGCATTGCAGGGGGGTAACCCCACCACGAGGGCAAGTTTTTAGTCTATCAGGAGTTGTTCTTTAAGAAGTGTAAGGGGATGTGTCTCCGTAGGCAGCCCACCCAATAATGGTGACTGAAGGTTGGCCGTTCGCTCGAGTAGCAATGAGCTTTACTCATGCGCGCTGCTTGCTCCATGCGTGGGCGGCCCTGGCAGACTAGCAATCGGGAACCAATCAGCATTGCTTCTAATCATGTGATCACCAGCTATGACATGGTGATCACATGGCTGTAAACATTGTACCGAATCAAGGTGGTGGACCTCCTAAGGCAGTAGGTGTTCTCAGCCAGCGTAGAGGGAATGGCTCTCCTTAGGCCGCTCTCCCAGGACTGGTGGCAGAAGGTTGGCTCTTTGCTCGAGCAGGGACTGGGTGCACATGGAGGAAAGAGCCAAAAGCAGAGCGTGTAAAGTCCAGCTTTCATTTTATTCAGGCTCCTATCCTAGAAAGGCAAAACACGTTTCGGGGGTTCAAAGGGTCTCTCGTCATCAGGGCTTGGAACTGTTGAACAAGGCATGTACTGGATGGATACATCTGTCATTAAACAAGAACAACTGGGCGGGACGTCACGGCCAGCTCCGCCCAGTTGTTATTCATTGGCCAGGTAATGGCTGGCTAATATTAAAGAGTTGGGCGGAGCTAGCTGTCACTGCTAGCTCCACCCAATTGTTTTTTTTTGTTGAATTATAATTTTTTTCTTTTAAAAAAATCTTTATTTTTTAATTTTAGTATTTATTTACATTTTAAAAGTATTTTTTCAACCTTTTTTTTAAACACTTTCATTGATTTTCTATTCTGCTCTGTACCACGGAGGTGCTGAGCAGAATAGTAGAGACGAATGCCGCTCAGCGCCATTCGGCTATTCACTCACCTATGAGAATGGGGGCGAACGGCAGCGAGTGAGCTGCCGGAGCTTCGGCTCAGCCGATCCAAATGTTGGATCGGCTGAGTCGAAGTCCTTCTGCACTTCGGCTCAGCTGAAGTTCAGCCGTAGGCAGCCAATGTACGGCTGAAATCAGCCGTACTTAGCCGGAGTGAATGGCCGAACATTGATGTCGGCTGCCTTCCCCAGCTTTGTGAATGACCCCTATATGTATTCAATTTTTTATTACATCATTCCAAACCAGTGGCCATATTACTTAATATTCACATAGCAAGTGTAGAAACTGCACCCTAAAACGTTTGTTTCCTTTCTTGCTGGTTTTCAGATGTTGATGTGACCCACGCTGCATATGTTAGGAAAGATATTCCACACTACAGAACCAAAAATGAGTGAAAGAACCGGCGTGCTCCACTTCAAGCTGGACAACCATGGAGACTCCATGTTGGGTAGGATGAACGCTTTACGAGAACAGAGCAAGTTCTGCGATGTCACCGTATACATCGACGATGCTGAGGTCCCGGGACACAAAGTGGTGTTTGCGGCAGGCTCCCCCTATCTCAGGGACCAATTCCTGCTAAGCGATTCCCAAGACGTTCGTATCTCCATTCTACAGAACTCTCAGGCCGGGAAGCATCTGCTCCTGTCCTGTTACACCGGGGTCCTCGAATTCCCCGAGATGGACCTCGTCAACTATCTGACGGCAGCCAGCTTTCTGCAGATGAGTCATGTGGTGGAGCGATGCACGCAAGCCTTGTGGAAGTTTATTAAACCACAGCAAGCCACAGCGGGGACCACGGATGAAGAAGAGACCAAACCGGCGGCGGAGGTTGTGGAACCAGAAGAGGAAACCGATGATTCCATCCAGCCGGACTCTCCTGTGGCCTCCAACTCAGAAGATAGCATAGACAATGACGATATTCAGATTGTCAAGGTTGAGTCTATAGGTGAGGTACCCAGCGATAAAGCCAAGGTAAGCCAAAGTCAATTCATGTCATCTGACCAGACTGCCCTGCACTCCCTGGAGCCGCAACACTCGCTCATCAACTCCACTGTCGAAAACCGAGCTGGAGACATGGACGCCAACCCTATACACAACTATGCCGTGTCGGATAACAGCAGCGATAACATGGGGCCATCTGCCAAAGAGATTTTCGGACCTAGCAGTAGGGTTTTGGACAAGACACTGCAATGGCATCACCAATGTCCCAAATGCACTCGGGTGTTTCGGCATTTGGAGAATTATGCCAACCATTTGAAAATGCACAAACTGTTTATGTGTTTGTTGTGCGGAAAGACATTCACTCAGAAAGGCAACCTGCACAGGCACATGCGCGTCCACGCAGGCATCAAACCCTTCCAGTGCAAGATATGTGGCAAAACCTTTTCTCAGAAGTGCTCGCTACAGGACCACCTGAACCTGCACAGCGGAGATAAACCGCACAAATGCAACTACTGCGATATGGTGTTTGCGCACAAACCCGTACTGAGGAAACACCTCAAGCAGCTCCACGGCAAAAACAGTTTTGACAATGCGCACGAGAGGAGCACACTGGATGTCAGTCTTGACTATGAAGCTTTTGCCGGTGCCCATGATGGCAACGAAATGATTTCACAGAGCCTGCACCAATGAGAAGGAGGTGTTATGCATACATTTTAAAGGACGTGTCCATTTATTCATCTTACGTCTGTACTCGGTGCACCATGTAATAGACAACCTGAGTAGGCCTGGCCAGGAGTGGCACCTAGAGATGCCTGCACATACCTTGGTTCATTGTCCTCTGCTAGATATAAAATCAAAGAGAAGGTACTGTAAATGCGGTACAAGAAATGAAGTGTACTTGATTCCATGCACTAATGGCGGAAAACAACATGGCGGGTACATGTTTGGTACAGATTTCGGAACACCAGACGCTGTACACCCATCTATGGTTTCTCAACACCGTGTTTCAGTTTATGGAGGAGAAACTTCCACTTTTAGATTTAAAGGTTTTAAGAGATGAATGCTAGTGTAGTGGACAGGAGGAGGATCAAATAACAAAGTAAAAATATAAAGCTGTACTACTGATGACCCAGGCCTTCAAATTAGGGATGAGCTCATATCTTGATGACCCAGGCCTTCAAATTAGGGATGAGCTCATCTCCTGGTGACCCAGGCCTTCAAATTAGGGATGAGCGCAGCTTCTGATGACCCAGGCCTTCAAATTAGGGATGAGCTCAGCTACTGATGACCCAGGCCTTCAAATTAGGGATGAGCTCAGCTTCTGATGACCCAGGCCTTCAAATTAGGGATGAGCGCAGCTTCTGATGACCCAGGCCTTCAAATTAGGAAAGAGCTCATATCCTGATGACCCAGGCCTTCAAATTAGGGATGAGCTCAGCTTCTGATGACCCAGGCCTTCAAATTAGGAAAGATCTCAGCTCCTGATGACTCAGACCTTCAAATTAAGAAAGAGCTCAGCTCCTGATGACCCAGACCTTCAAATTAGAGATGAGCTCATCTCCTGGTGACCCAGGCCTTCAAATTAGGGATGAGCTTAGCTGCTGATGGCCCAGGCCTTCAAATTAGGGATGAGCTTAGCTGCTGATGGCCCAGGCCTTCAAATTAGGGATGAGCTCAGGTTCAAAAGGAACCTGTTCTGAACCTGAGCTCCTCCGAACATGGAAGGAAGCTTCTACTGTGCAATCCAATCAGCTTGACGGTAGCAAAGGGAGCGGTGCAGTGACGTCATTGACCTTAAATGGCTACATGCCTATATTTCGTAAATACTATTGACCTAATATGTCTATGTGGCCATATAAGGTATATGATGTCAACACAAGCTTCCTGCCCCTTTATGTGGAGCTATAGGGCGGGGCATGCCCAGCATGTAGCTGATTTATGGAAGTCCCCATGGCACTTCCTTGTTCAGAGGAGCTCAGGTTTGGATCTGGTTCAGTCCAAACCTGAGCTCATCCCCACTTCCAGGGCCGGTGCAAGGATTTTTGCCTACACAGGCGAAGGTGCAGTACGCAGAACTGCAAAACATGTTGAGCAGGACGATAAACTAGCACTAACCGCACTCCCTTTCCACTAACCCTAACTGGTCAAATGATCCATAGTACAACTACATGTTATGTACTAACCTATTCATGTTAGCAGGGGAGAATTGTAAATCTATTACTGGTGTGTAGTGGAGGTGTGTGCTGTATATATGTACTACATCTACATTACACACGTCCAGTACATTATAGCAATAGATTTACAGCCAGTCCTGTCCCAGCTTTCCTCACTTACAGTTTCACTCCGATCCCTGTTGCCTCATGCGGCGGTGCCTCTCGTAGTTGGCGCTGGGCAGAATCGCTGCATCGCGTCTCGGTGCTCAACTTGTGGGAGGCGCTCACAATTCTGCCCTGCTAACATGTTTGGGTTAAATCATGATCCATAGTACATATACTGCACACACGTCCACTACACTGCAGTAATAGAGTTACAATTATCACCTGCTAACATGAATGGGTTAAATGGTCCGTAGTACAACTACATGTTATGTACTATTATGTACTAAGGATCTTTTAACCTATTCATGTTAGCAGGGGATAATTGTAAATCTGTTGCTGCAGTGCAGTGGACGTGTGTAACGTACATGTACTACGTACTACATATAGAGTACACTGCAGACAATAGATTTACAATTATCCTCGGCTAACATGAATGGGTTAAATGATCTATAGTACATAACATGTAGTTGTACTACGGATCATTTAACCCATTAATATTAGCGGGGGGTCATTGTGAATCTATTGCCGGCAGTGTATTGGGAATGTGTACTGTATATATGTACTACATATAGAGTACACACTGCAGACAATAGATGTACAATTATCACCTGCTAATAATCATTAGTTCTTATTAGGGACCCCCCCTGCCCTCACTTACTGCTCGATGAAGGTGCCTCGCTGGTGACACGCGCGGCACCTCTGGCAGTCGCCGGCCAGCTAAATTAGGACCCCACCTGGAACTCCTCTCACCGGACCAGCGCTGACTTGCGGCTGCACTCCCGCACCGAAGGTAAGTGAAGAAAAAAAAAAAACATAGCGCAAGAATCGCAGCATTTTGACAAGTACAAGTACTTGTCAAAATGCCCTGTTTTTTTCCGCCCTCACCCTTCAGCGCCCTCAGGCGGCCGCTCGACTTGCCTTGCGGTAGCGCCGGGCCTGCCCACTTCATATAAGTGATAGCCACGGATGGTGCCGTGCCAAGACCAGATGGGAGAATACAAAATCACCAGCACTCCAAAGAAATGCGTATCGCAGATTTAATGTGAGTCGAAGCATACCAACGTTTTGGGGCCTTGCAGGGTCCCCTCCTCAAGGGGACATAATTACTATGTCAAAGATATAGGAATGGCCTCTGCAGGCCCCCTGAAACATCAGTATGCTTTTGGCAGTGATAACCTAATTTTGGATCCTGACTCTGGATACTTGACATCCTCGGGGTCTTAACTTTAAATGGGATATTGATTTGTTAAACCCCCATAGCTTTAGTTGCTTACTATGGATGGCTCTGTATTGCCAGAGTGTATGAATATTAGTGTTACTAGGTTTTGGGTGTTTGCCTAGGGCAGTGGTGGCGAACCTTGGCACTCCAGCTGTGCCAAAACTTCAAATCCCAACATGCATCTGCCTCTGGGAGTTATGTGTGTGGCTGTTCCAAAACAGCTGGGGTGCCAAGGTTCGCCACCACTGGCCTAGGGGGTCTGTGGATCTTCCACGAGTGATTAGCAGTTGCACAACAATTGTTTTATCGATACATTTTAGCATCCGTATGTCTTTTTTTTCAGGTATTCTTGTATAACAGAGTTCAGAATGTTTGTGTTGCATTGTTGTATTCTGTATATAAGGTCCACCTCTGCAATTGCAATTGTCCGAAACATTGGTTTTTAATAGCTGTTGAATAAAGTGCTGCTTTTATCCCGCAAGCATGCTGGAGGCCCATCGCCATCTTACTTTTCACCGTGAGCAGAAGCCAGCGATCTTGGGTACCCATGAGCAGACGAGAAGAGTGTGTGTCAGGTTGGTGAGCTGCTTCGTGCTTATGTTTGCATACAAACCTATATTGAGGGAACGTCCCAAATAGGTGTATGGTAAAAAGAGTTTTCAGAGGAAATCACGGGAGGAAGTTTGAGGAAATCTTGACTTTTTTCATCCCCTATGTTTGTGTCCTCCCATTACCCTAAGGAGAACTATGGGGAAAAGCACTAACCCCATAGTTCTCCTTTAAATCTATTCATTTTAGATATGAGTGCTTAATGTACTATGTAAAAGACAAACTAAGATGTATTTAAAGTGACCCTGTGAATTAAAAAGAAAAGAGAAAGAACTGCTAGCAAATATAATGTTCCGGCACCTAGCTGCTCTACTTGTCCCTTCTAATGCTGAATGCCATGCTGAACTGAAGGAGTGAAGCTGCGGCACCTCCTGGTAGTGACAGAGCTAGACCATCTCCTACTCCTACTAATACTACTTGTTTATTCCCATTGGCCATTGTCAGCAACTCATCATAGTGATAGACCAATGGAGGGGGTGCCAGCAAGTTCAGTCCTTGGTTTTGCCTGTCCAGAACGGATAGGAATGCAGCCATGGAAGGGACAAGAGTCACTGTAGGTGCATCAGGGTGACTGCTAACAGCTTTCTTCACACCTCCCATCCTGTTCTTGGACAATCAACATTTCCTTTGACACATTCCATGATGATTGGATGAAGGTGTCTGTGCTACCTGTGCGGATACGAATGGCGGGGAATGTTCACTCATTAGAGCTGAAGAAGCGGCCTGGAGAAGCTATGAATTGTCTTGAATATTGCAGAACAAGTCCAGTTGACTGTGACTAAGTACTACTATGACCTGAATGATTGAGAACCTTTAAGAACATAAGAGCTTTCTTCTTTTTTTAATTCTTTTTTTTTTTAATACCGGTAAAACAATAAATAAACCAACACCCCTTTGTTAATGCATAAACGTACTGGGCCATTCAATCATTTGGTCAACACATTTGTTGAGAAGTCAGGGCATGGTAACATCAGTAGCTACATCATAACTTCTACTGTCACCATTTAAAAACTGGAATACTATTTATGCCACTAACCCTCAACTGCCAGGACTTCTCTTAATAAAAGTATTCGTAGTATTCAAGGGTAAGTTGGCTGAATGCTAATATTGGGTTTGTGAAGCCGAAACCAATCAGTGTTGTAGTTACACAGTTGCTGCCCCAAAAACCAACATAGACAGTGTGGGTAGAGGGCCTACGTGAGATAGAGAGGGTTGAGGGCCTGTGTTCCTGAGGGCCTATGTTCCTGAGGGCCTATGTTTCTGAGGGCCTGTGTTTCTGAGGGCCTGTGTTCCTGAGGGCCCATGTTCCTGAGGGCCCTGTGTTCCTGAGGGCCTGTGTTTCTGAGGGCCTGTGTTCCTGAGGGCCCTGTGTTTCTGAGGGCCCTGTGTTTCTGAGGGCCTGTGTTCCTGAGGGCCTATGTTTCTGAGGGCCTGTGTTCCTTAGGGCCTGTGTTTCTGAGGGCCTGTGTTTCTGAGGGCCGGTGTTTCTGAGGGCCTGTGTTCCTGAGGACCTGCTTTCCTGAGGGCCTATGTCTCTGAGGGCCTATGTCTCTGAGGGCCTATGTCTCTGAGGGCCTATGTTCCTAAAGGGCCTATGTTTCTGAGGGCCTGCTTTCCTGAGGGCCTATGTTCCTGAGGGCCTATGTTCCTGAGGGCCTGTGTTCCTGAAGGCCTGTGCACTTCAGGGCCTATGTTCCTGAGGGCCTGTGTTCCTTAGGGCCTATGTTACTGAGGGCCTATGTTCCTGAGGGCCTGTGTTCCTTAGGGCCTATGTTACTGAGGGCCTGTGTATACATTTAGCTCTGCTTGTCCGGAGCAGGACTAAATGTACAAAAAACTACTCCCCCGGCGCCCGAAACTGCAACGAGCGATAGGGATTCCACACCCCTGGGTACACTGTCAGCCCCGCCGCCTCAGCTCTCACACATTCACTCCATAAGACGCACAGACATTTTTGCCCGCCTTTTGGGGGGGGTAAAAAAGAGTGCGCCTTATGTAGCGAAAAATACAGTATGTATATGGCTGCCAGACCCGAGTGGCATTTGGGAGCTCCCGAATGCAATTCGGAAATTCGGATCCCGAATACCTTTCGGGTCTGGGAGCCTCAGCTTTAGTATTAATATCTGTATATGGTTTTCTGCGATAGTTGTAACGAATATTCGTAAACTCATCCGAAGTAACGAAAATTCGGATTCCGTCTGAATCTGAAACCTAAACCGAATTGAATTTCGGATCCGAATCCCGAAATAACTAAATATCCTCCATCGCTGCCGACGACGGGCCCAGCCACCTCCCCCGAAGCTGCTGGTTGTCATCGACTCGGCAGCTGTGAGGAGGGACGCGCCGCTGCACATGTGAATGGCTACGTGTTTCTACTCACAGCCGCCAGTGACAGCCAGCAGCCTGAAATGCCATAGCGACCCAGGCGGCCCCGCACACGGCATCAGGGGGATGTCCTGGTCGGGCCCCCCTGTGCCCCCCTGTGCGCCTGGGTCGCTATGGTGATTGTTACGCCACTGGTGAGGTTGAATAAAGACACAGGTCCATCAGGTTCAACCTATTTACCATAAGACTGTTTGACATTGCTCTGTGTACTGTATCCCTCTGTTTGGTTTGCAGTTGGTATGCAAAGTGTTATAATTAGCATAACAATAGCGAACATGACGCTGATAATCTGCTAATTTGCCAGTTTGGCCGCAAGAGTGAAGACCTTCCTGGACCAATCCACACACACACAACCCAAGGACTTATCTCATATATATTCAGTGGCGTAACAATAGCCATAGCGACCCAGGCGGCCGCTATGGGGCCCGGGCACAGGGGGGCCCGGCCAGGACAACCCCCTGATGCCGTGCGGGGCGCCTGGGTCGCTATGTTCTGAGGGTGACCCTGGAGAGCCCACCATAGAGAGTCTATGGCGGGCTCTGCAGGGTCACCCTCAGGTGAGCTATGTGGGCTCTTCAAGGGGTGTAACTAGAAATCACAGGGCCCCATACTAAATTTTGCTATGGGGCCCTGTGATTTCTAGTTACGCCCGTGTATATGCGTGTATTTTCTGGATTGTGATCAATAATAGGAAATCACCTGCACTCCATACAGCGTGCAGACCTTGGATGAGAGGTTGGTGCTTGAAGTGACAACACGGATGGCGCCGTGTTAGATGCAGTCCACATGCGTCAAACAGCCAACGTTTCGGGGGGCCACGTAGGGTCCCTTCTTCTGGGTGACATAGTGACCTGGGTTTTCTGGATTGTGTTCACATACGTGTGGCCTTCACCATCCTATGTCTGGGATTTTTCAGCCATGCATGGGGGTTGGGTACTTCGTACAGCCTAGAGGGGGTGTAGCAGAGGTTTCGATGCGCACTACACGTGGCTTGTGGTTACAACTAGAGATTAGCCTGGGCTTGTTGTGAATCCATTATGCATGAGTTCACCTGTGACCACCCCTCTCATCCCAATCAGTGACAGCAATTGCCATGGCAGGGGCGGATCCAGAGTCCACTCTCCGCAGGGGAAGAAGATGGGGCCCGGTAACTGGCAATATCAGCGGTTACCAGGGCCCCCGTCATCCAGTTCAGCCCCCAAGTGACAGAATGCTAAGGCCCGGCTGCGGCTGCAACCGTTGTGACCATGGTAGTTTAGCCACTGTATAGAGGACTACAAATCCCAGCAATACATTATACAGCAATTCACAACACTGTCTATAGAGGACTACAAATTCCAGCAATACATTATAGAGCAAAGCAGAATACCACCAGCTATAGAGGGACTACAAATCCCAGCTCGTAATCAGTGATCATGGGATAATCGTCAGGTGTATGGGCACCTTTAAGGGATCACTTTAATAGATTTTATAAACATTTGCGCAAATATCGTGCAACATAAAAAAAATTTGCAACTGCCACCATTTTATTCTACGGGGTCTCTGCGTTCAGAATCTACGTCATTGTCCGCAGGGGGTTTTAAGTCATTTTCTAGCCCAAAAACAACAACAACAAACAATGAAGACTTTTCTCCGGAGGTGAAGCGGTTAAGCAATGTGTGAATGTGAAAGGCCTCTGGGCCCCCAGCAGGGTGTGGGATTCGCTGGCCCCCAGCAGGGTGTAGGACTTGGTTTGCTCTCTTGTGTTTCCAGTCGGGGGAGTTTGCAGGGAGGACCAGGAAGCAGTTTTGTCTCGAGCTGAATGCTGGCCGTGGAGAGCAGAGAGCTGACTTTTGGATCGTCTGGTCGCGGAGAGGAAGGCCGGAGATTTCCAGAGCGCCGGAGGATTATTACACGACGACGACGGCTGGCGTGATCTGACGCGGGTGGTGAGCTGCTTGCAGATGCTTTTATAATCCAAGATTGAGCGCCAACACTTTGTACGGCACTCTACAATATAACGGGAGGCAGTACAGTTACAATACAATTCAATAGGTTAGGAGGGTCCTGCTCATAGGAGCTTACACTCTAACGGGAGACAGTACAGTTACAATACAATTCAATAGAAGGTTAGGGAGGTCCTGCTCGTAGGAGCTTACAATCTAAAAGCGCACAGCGCATGTTACAATATATTCAATCACAGTGGGGGAAATGTATCAAAACTAACAGCAAACAGAATCTGGAGCAGTTGCCCATGGCAACCAATCAGCACCGCTCTTCAGTTTGCTCAGGTAAGATTTGAAAATGAGACAGAGAAGCTGATTGGTTGCAGTGCAAGTCTGCTCCAGATTTTGTTTGCTTCAGTTTTGGTAAATCCCCCCCCAGACACGCTCAGGGATGACCCTCTTTGCTCAGTAAGAAGCAACAAATAATGCATGAAAATAACTTTTCAAATCAAGTAATATACTCTTGAGTGGCCAGATTATTATGACTAACTGACGTTTGTAGGCAAATTAGCTATAATTTCGCGCTGAAGTTGCTAGAGGGCCAGACCATTATAAATAGGGAAGCAGGTTGTTTACCACGACAGTAGAAGTGATTTTTTTTCTGAAGATATGGGTAAACAACGCGATTTAACAGCCTTTGAAAGTGGGATGATTG